GACAACCCCGTAACAATATGCGTTTTGTACTGCTGTTACACAGCACAAAACGCATAAAAACGCATGTTGGCAAGAGGCTGTCTGTGTGTATGTCTGTGTGTTCGCACTTTTTGTCACCCACTTCCTACTCGAAAATCAAAAAAGCTAGAAAGCTGAAACTTCGTAAGTATGTGCCTACACCATGTGCGATCTACCCGTTTTAATATCATCACTTGCGTGCGCTTGCATGCCGCGTACGGGCGCCATAAAAAATGCGCTAATTTTTTGGCGAATAAACGGTCTCGGGAACTAAAAAGGACAGAGAGCTGAAATTTTGCAGGAATATTCTCTGTGCATGTATGAGTTAAAGATTTCAAATTCAGCTCGCAGATGTGCGTGGCTCTCATATACGGGCACGTGAAATTTTTGTCAGAAAATTACTAGTTCTGCAACCAGAAAAGCTGAAAGGCTGAAATTTTAAGGGTATATTCCCATACAGGTACGTAAGGATTTCAAAATCAGTCTCCAGGCATGCATGGTCCTCATGTGCGGGCACTTTAGTTTTTGGCGGGGAAATTGCTCACTGAACAACCAGGTCATTTTCAAAGAACGACTGTTAAACGGAAATTATTTATTTCCTTTATGCGAAACTCACGATGATTTACGCTTGTGAGCTCACAAGGTAGGTGTAAAGTAACAACCATTCATGCAGCTAACGACCTGAGTACTTCATGTCAGGTACAAAAACGCGTGATGGCACCGGCAGGCCTGGTGCATTCCAGCCTGGGTTTCATTTTAATCCGCATAGTATTAGGTAACGGCGTGGTTTTATGTCGCCCGAATTTTTCATGACCTGTCTCAAAATGATATTTTGCAAATTGGGTTGGAAAGGCGGATCTGAACATAAGTGGCAAACAACTGAGCAACCGCATTAGCAAACAGTGTTGCGGTTAGGTTTACCTCGGCCAGGAAGTGAGCGTACATTAACTCCGAGGTGAAGAGTGCTAGCTAGCGCACATTTTGCAGCTTTGTGGATGCCCTAAGTGCCAAAAATGAACAGCCGGTCTCCTCTGCTAAAAACAGTGACGTAAAGGATGCGAAACTTAGTTGCTAAGAAAGAGGAATGAACGCTGGGTAAGATGGAGAGAGCGATGGAACGCAGAATGCTTGGGGTATCTATCTTTATAATGCAACAAGTCAGATGGCAACAAGTCAGATGGCCCTTTAACTGAGCAGCAAGCGGAATACCACTGCCATACGAATGGTCTTTGAAGATCACGTACATTAGGTGACAGGACATGATGTTAAAGACCGAAGGGGCTTATAAGGCTGCACCCAGCGTGTGGGAGCATGTAAGGAAACACTGGATCTTTGACAGGATGTCTTGACTGCCTGTTTTACTGCACTTCCAAAACAACAAGATGGATGTTGCGGAAGTTACGCTTGGATGTAATTTTCTAGATGCATTTTCCTTACAAAAACTTGCGCTAAAACCGTGCCCAAAAAGGCCACCATGAAAGCAAACTAGACACTGGTAGGGCACAACTCACTGCGATAGAGACAGAGCCACAAACCGAACAAATGCATTCAGTTCCTTCTTCCCTGGACTATGTGCTTTCGTTGAAAAGTGCATCGGAAATTACCTGTAAAATGACGGTGGTGGCACGGAATACGGTGGCGGTAACGGTGGGCGATACGCTGCATTGTGCGAAAGGTCATAAGTAGGTGGTGGTGACGCATGACTGAATGCTTCGTACACTTGAGGACAAAGCGGATAATTGTGCTGTGGGAAATTGGGACGTGACGGGTTGTTAATTGACTGAAAATAACAAGATTTTGCTCTGAGCTTTCTCTCGGTGCCAAAACGCAAGCACGGAAAAATTTGTCTATGTAATCAGAAGCGACAGATTTGCCAACGGTTCAAACAGAAGGGGATGCAGGAGGAAAACGGATGGCGGAAAGGAACGGAGGAAAATGCAGCTAAAGGGGAGAATCGGAAGCTTGCTTCTCGTGGATGGCATAAACTGCCATTTCAAGATTTGGGGAGGGAAAAACGAAGTTTTATTAGAGATGCAAAATTTAGTTGAAAAGTGGAAAAAAGTAGCTTGGGAATGCTAAACTGCTTAAAAAAGCAAATAACCTCATTCCAAATAATATCATGCCGGATTTAAATAATCGAAGCGTAGAACGACAAGAGGCTGCAGAGGAAAGGACATGGCATTTCTGTTGCAAAAGGAAAAAGGAACGAGTAGCAAGGAAACGAAGACGGTGGTTAAACCCTCTTCGCCTTGCCCAACTGCCCGTCGGTTCCGTGTGGTATGCAAATGTCCTGTCTCTTGACTCGAATTCCCCCTCCGTGATATTTAATGTGCTGATTAGAAATGAACTTGGAATTGTTTTTGTTGCTTTAAAAAGTGTGCGGCGGCAGCTTGAAGCTGTTGCCGCTACCATCGCTGCTCGTATCCAGTGGCAGCTTGGAGCTGCTGCCAGGTAATTTCGGAGTTTGTGATTTTTTTTTTTTTGATTTGTTTTGCGGTTGCACTAATAGAGGTGTTTTGTATGAGCGCTTTCAGCAACTATTAAAAAGGTAATAGGAGGAAGCAGAGTGTCGGGATCGAGGTGCGCTATAGCGTCAGTCCTGCTAACGTGTCGAGTTATCTCAGAGCAAGTGAGTGTAGTCTAAAAAACGTTTTATTCAACGACTATTGCAATTATTGCAAGCGTGACCTCAGTGCGTGTGCCGAACTATCAAAGGTCGAAAAAAATTTTCCTGTAATTTAATGATCGTCACATACTTGCCAAGAGCGAAAAGATTTGGATAATCCATCCACTCGAATTGAGATTTGATCCAATTTCTCACTGACTTTATAATCTAATTCTTTCAAAGCGTCTGTGATTTTCCTGAAATACCGGCAGTCCAAATCAAACTCCCTAAACGAATGCCACTGTACGGGCAACTGCGTGCTCTGCTTCTCATCCATTTCTCTTAGCGGGCACTTTTCTGCATTTTTTTAATCAGATAAATCACCAGTCAAAACCACATTTCCGAAAGCTGTAAGAATTACTTTTTTCAAAGCAGAGCCGTTTCCTACCTTTCTAAGACAGACAAAATTTGAAAATTTTTTTCAAAATAAATGAAGTTTTGAACGGACCTTGACGGTACAAATTGATTTTTTCAGATTGTCGCTACCAAAAAATGAGATCTATTGCTTGAAAATTTTTAAATGATCAGTTTTTCCTATCAAAGGAAACGCAAAATCAAGATAGAATTCCTAAAAATCCGAACACAAAAGCTTATTTCTAAGATATCTCTGATGGGAAAATTATTGATTTATTCAAAAAATTTTTCAACTTATTCAAAATTCAGAGAAAAAAATCAAAAATAAACGCTATATTTATTAAGATGCTTTTAATGGGCAGTCCTAGGCAGCTGAATTTGAAATCTTTTAGCCACACATGGACAGAGGATATTACCTTAAATTTCAGCTCCCTAGCTTTTCTCATTTAAAAGCTCGCAGTTTTCCCGTCAAAATTTTCAAGTGGTCGCACGCGAGGCCCAGACGTGCGTGAGGGTTGATACCACGGTCCTGGGGTGGCACTTGGCCGGGTGAATACACTAGTAAAATTTCAACTCCAATACTTACATGGCTGGCAAGTTGAAATGCCTGAACACACACACACATACATACACACACACACACACACACACACACAAACAGTGTCGTCGCAATATGCGCTTTTGCCGCCTGTTGCAGCGTTCTAGCGCTGCACGGCAAAAACGCATTACAAGCACAGCAAAACCAAATTTTCACTTAATCCACAGCGCCCGCTTTCTACTCTAGACTGCAAATCGGTTGAAATAGAGGGATCCAGTATTGCTTAAATTTTTCCCGACGTATCTCAAAATGATATCTAGCAGTATGGGTTGTAGAGGTGGCTGAACATCACTGTGAACAGCTAAACCGTTCACGATTCACAGATGGCACAGATTCCATTGCAAACAACATTCGCGAATTCCAAAGCCTGAGTTCACGATCTAACGATTTGGCCCTGAAAAGTAGTTTCGGGTCTGAAAAATAAAGCACCGAAAATGATGTTAATGTAAGGACCCACATAAATAGCGACAAATTGCAGGGTGGTGATAAAATGAGAGAAGTTAACTATATCGATGGGAATTTAATATGCTCCACAACCTCTAGCCTAAAATTACACAGCTAAAAGCTGCCAGCTGATGTTAGTTTTAGTGCATCGTTGATAATCAGGATGTCGCACCGGAAGGTACGTTTCATCTCTACGATATTAGCAGTGTTGGGAACGTACAGACGCAAAACTTCGCTATCACAAGGAAAGAAAACCAAAACTGCTGTGAAAGACGAGGCCAGTGATGCGAAAGACGCCTGCAAAATCTGTTCCTGTCAATACATGCAGCCGAAAACAATTGTAAAAATTCGGCTCGGCTCGGCTGGTGGTCGATTGTGATTGAGAAGCGCTCTACCATCTCTGCTAACCTATTTCACGACGTCGCTCGCCGGAACGGCTTGGCACCTCGCCAGACGCGCTAGGTATGTTACCCGTGTCTGACGGCTGGATTGCACGGTTGGAGGTGGAAGGGAGGGGGGGGGGGGGGGGG